GGACGGTGGAAGGAATACTTCGAGGATCTCCTCAATCCTGGCGCCATGTCTTCCGATGAGGAAGCAGAGGCTGAGGGCTCGGAGGGGGACGCGTCCATCACCCAGGCTGAAGTCACTGAGGTAGTCAAGAAGCTTCTTGGTGGCAGGGCACCGGGGGTGGATGAGATCTACCCTGAGTACCTTAAGTCTCTGGATGTTGTTGGGCTGTCTTGGTTGACACACCTCTGCAATGTCGCATGACGGTCGGGGACAGTGCCTCTGGACTGGCAGACCGGGGAGGTGGTCCCTCTTTTTATGAAGGGGGACCGCAGGGTGTGTTCCAACTATAGGGGGATCACACTCCCTAGCCTCCTCGGGATAGTCTATGCCAGGGTACTGGAGAGGAGAATTCGACCGATAGTCAAACCTCGGATTCAGGAGGAACAATGCGGTTTTCGTCCTGGCTGTGAAACACTGGACCAGCTCTATACCCTCTTCAGGGTGGCGGAGGGTTCATGAGAGTTTGCCCCACCAGTCCACATGTGTTTCGTTGATCTGGAGAAGGCATTCGACCGTGTCCCTCGCAGCGCCCTGTGGGGGGGTGCTCCGGGAGTACGGGGTCCGGGGGCCTTTGCTAAGAGCTGACCAGTCCCTGTACAACCAGAGCAGGAGCTTGGTTCGCATTGCTGGCAGTAAGTCAGACTTGTTTCCAGTGCATGTTGGACTCTAGCAGGGCTGCCCTTTGTCACCGGTTCTGTTCATTATTTTTATGGACAGAATTTCTAGGCGCAGCCAGGGGCCGGAGGGAGTCCGGTTTGGGGACCACAGGATCTCGTCTCTGCTTTTTGTAGACGACGTTGTCCTGTTGGACCCATCAAACCAGGACCTCCAGCGTGCACTGGGGCGGTTTGTAGCCGAGTGTGGGATTCTTATAAAGCACTAATTAAAACAGCACATTTCTTTGAGCAATGTAAGAAAATTAACAATTATACTGATGCAGTGTCTAGGACAAGTGAAAATGTTTGTGGGTGGGATGACTGGTTAGGACTAAATGAGACACCAACTAAATGTCAGGCTGAAAAGGTGAAGTGAGAAAAAAGACTATTCTGTAAAAAATTATTGGGTAAAATCTCCTTTGTTGGACAAACAAACACTTGAGTGTCTCTTTATTTCTTGGAGTTTGCACTGAACATTCCTTACAAACAGAGTCCACAATAAAATTTTTTGGTTCTGTTACTTTCTGTCCACCTGTCCCTCCAGGTGTCTATGCTGGCTGTAGATGAAATGCACATGAATCTGCCTCATATGACCAAAGACATCTACTGGAATGACAGCGACGCTCGGCCACCGTACACCCTGGCTGCTGCCGACTACTGCATCCCATCATTCCTTGGCTCCACCACTGACATGGGGTCAACATACATATTTTACATATTATATTAGTCTCACAGAAGCAAACTGAATGGTTTAAGCCAGTGGTATGGCACTATTAGGTTGTGATGACAGGATTTAGTCAGTGGATTTACTTCTGTTTTTAATGTGATGTGTTTAGAGGAGTTTTAAAGTAGCACAAAGACTGGTGACTGTGCACAAAGCTATAATCCTCTAGAGGACCTACTCCTTGTCATTCTGGAGGTAGAACTGCTGATTTCCTCCTCATGGTCATTTTACACCCCAGTGAAGTTCAGTCAGTGTGGTTATCTTAAGTCAGGCTTCAGTAATGTTGTCTTGTCTGAGAATCAGCTGGGTTCTGAGTTGTTTCATCAGCGAATTGAAAAACTTTTGTCCTACATCTCTTTCAGACTCTCTGACATCCTCCAGTTGGACGAGACCGACATTAGCGACACTAATCTACGACGGCATAGCACGATTACACCTCGGCGCAAAGAATCGGTAATTAAAATTTTGACAACCAGCAACAAGGCTGCATTTTGATCCCTAAATCTACTGAGCAGATGTCAGTGGCCTGAGGAAAAGTTAGGCAATGGACCAAAGAATAACTAATTACTAATGACTGAGGATGTAACGATACCAAAAACTGACGGTACAATATTTATCACAATATTTAAAAAAGATAAAAGATGAAAAATGCCCATTTCAAAACAATAAATCATTTTTGTATGATTTTCCTTTTAACCTAAAGGCCTCCTGCTTTCCTTCTTTATTAAAATACAAGTAGTCATGTGCAAAAGTTTGTGGTCACTGGCACTGAAGGACTGAACTGTTTGTACAATTGCAAAGCAAAAGCTAATGCAACAGTCAGCAGCACTGCTTTCTCAGGTTCACATGGGGCTAGTAGGCCTGTTCAGAGTCTGTCAGTTTCTTGAAACAGGAAAACTGAAATGCTGCCACACAACAGTTTTAAAAGTCGACGACAGAGCATCCCATATGCCACCTGAATGCAGTGCCATTAGTGAAATAACCATATGTAACATGGTAGATACATCACAGTTCCATGACTATATCAAGATATTGTGAAATTATCGCTACATCCCTAGTAATGACTAATGAATTACTTTTTGAGGAAGGCAGTATCATCCAGTTGCTACTTATAAAGAATCTTTCAGCACATGTCATGCTATTATTAGCCTTTTTATAACAAAACAAGTATCCTAAATGGCAGGTAAAATATTCTGATTAAATGTTACCATTTTCCATTCAATTGAATATATATTCAAAATGATCCAAATGTGACGTTTTCTTCACATGGTCCTTGTCCATTTTAATAAAGATACCGTATGAGAAAGAGATTTTACTGATTTTATGGTGACAGAGTTTAACGTTGCAGGTTCTTGGTCGTGTGAGGCGGGTGCTCAGCGTTCAGGACCCTCCTGGCCTCCGAGCTTCTCAACACATCTTCAAACGGCACAGTGGTTACGTAGAAGAGAGCTTCATCCCAGACAACAGGTGCAGCACTGGTCCCACAAGCAAGTTTCCATTATTAGAGTTTCAGGTGACACAGTGGCTCACTGTAGCACTACCTGTTTCTACTTGTATGTTTTCTGTTAGTAATTTCAGTCCCTCCAGGGTCAGTCTGGGTCCAGAGGACGTTCCTCCTCTTTCCATGGACACCTTATCCACCTTAAAGGAGGTTAACAGTGACCCTGCCTCCCATGAAACCTTGCCATCTCCTGTTTCCCCCCAGCTCGCTGTCAGCCCATCGTTGTTCAGTGATGTCCGTCACAATGGGGATTCTTCTGGCAATGGTGAAACAGCAAAACCTCAGAACAGGCTGGAGCCTCTGCCCACCGAGGAGGCACCGTGCTCAGAAACAGCAAAGTATTCATCATGTTCTGTTCATAGTGTGGAGGCTTTTGAGTTTTCCCTCCTCGTTTGTCTGACTTGGTCGATAACTGAAACCTTTACACCGTGGTCCTGAGCTAATGGGCTAACAAAAATGACCAGCAAACACAGTCACTCACTTTGTTAATATATTTTTTTTCTGTGCTCATTTAAATCTTGCAATCTTGCCCTTCTTTGACTTGTCCATCCTTTTATGTCCAGGCCCAGGCCTTCAATCACTCAACTGGGACCTAAGGAGTTTTGCTGGGTGCCCTTCAGTGCCTTGAACCGCCCACAAACCCAGCCACGGTGTCGCCATTTCTCCATCCAGTTCACTAGGAAGATGTCAAAGAGATCAACCCCCAGCCCACCAAGCTCCAAGGACCTGGGGAGTCAGAGGAAATACCTAGCTCATTTCCAGTCCCTGCGATCACCTAGTCCCGGTACTGACACTCTGCAGCTTCCTGACCTGGAGTGTGGCGTTGATGTTGAGGATACGGCAGGGAGAGAGGATCAGACGATACAAGAAACCAGTAAAGAGACCCAAAAACACTGACTCCCAGTCGCAGAGTTTAGAAAAGAAACCACTCAGACAGTAAGTTAACACCAATGAAACCAAGCAGAGCCAGTCTCAGAACTACAATAGTAATGACAGTACCCAACCTGAGCAGTCGCCACTTTGACTAAGAGGAAAGCTCAATGTTGCTTAATTTGTTGTTTTGATCCAACAAATGCTTCGACAGTTTGGCACTCCAGCTTCTGTTTGGGTTTATCGCTTGTTGTCAGCTTTGTCACAAGAGACAAACTCCTACTGCAGGGTGTGACACCAAAGGATAGAAAAGCACCCTAATAGTAAAAATAAAATATGATCTTTTAAGCTGGGAAAGCTTAATAAATTACACTGATGCCATGTGAGATTTTAAGATATTAAATGGCATTGCTCCAGTGGTACTCTCCAAATATGAGAGCCACTAGTGGTCACATGTGAGCTGCATCATACCTTCAGGTAAAAGTCCGTTTGGTCAGTCTGCTTTTTCTTATGATGTCAAACACAGCTGCAATATGTTACCGGTGGGCATTAGAAGATTAACAACATAAGGGATTTTCACTAAAAAACTGCAAGTCTGCTTATTGGAAAAACAAAAATGTCAACATTATATCTAACTGTCCTTGTGCAGTTGTTGTGTATTTTTTGTGTCTGGTTGCAGCATGTGCTTACTTTGCTCTCTTGGGCACAAGTTTTGTTGGTGAACATACTCTAGATAGTTTTATATTTTTCTGACTAGTGTCTAAATTATGTGTAGTTATTTATGTATTGTAATTTGTGTATTTGTCTGTATTTTTCCTTTTAGTAATATTTTAGACCTTTTTTTGTACTTGTTTTAATTGTATAACATGTATGACTTTCGGATGAAAGTTAGCTTCCTGGCTAAATATGACACATATACTGTATATATTTGATGTTAATTAATGTGTATTTGTCCCTGGCAAATAAACTAATAAAGAAAGAAATAATAACTAACTCTTGAGCTCAAAACATGGAAACTGGGCAAAGGTGCAAAGAGCATGTCACAACCACCATCATGTCTGTAAGGGTGCCCCACTTTATTATTCACTATTACTTAATATTTTCTTAATGAGAGAGCGGCTGTCAGTGCACGTCAAGCAATGTGAAATTAGCTGCAGAGAGCTGAACCTGTTGTGGAAAAATGTGCTGACTTTGTATTTCCAGGTAAAAATCTGGGCCTTCCCATTCACTCCAATACAATCAGAGGTTTCCTGGAAGTGATCTAGTGGCCGTGAGGAGAACTTCAACTTTAGCACTGGCTCCGGGACTCAACTGTGGTGGCTGCTGATTAGCTAAAGTACTGGTGCTCAGGATCACTGAGTGGACTTTAAAGGTTTCTAGAAACTCCTTTCTAGAATACAATCGTGTGCCTTCATGGGATGACTATTATTGTTTTGTAAATGTAACTGACATAATGAATAAACAAGCTTTTTCAAGTTATACTCACTGACTAGTCAATAAACCACTAAAAATGATTGAGTATACCACCATGGCCATACTCAGTAGCTCAGCCAGTAACAGTAGTTGGGTCAGGGCTGTTGATTTTGAGCTGCAAAATAGATTAGACAGTCATGGGTAGCTAAAGCACAATGCCACTAGCTAGTTGCTAACAAATGTTATTTGTGCTGGTGCCTTTGCAAGAATTACAAAATGCTATTATGGAATTTTTTGATTGGTGTGTTTATTGCTCACACAATTGTCTGCTATTGTGAACCAGTGGATTACTGTTCAGTTGTGTGCCTCACAAGTGCAAAGCCAACGCGGTCCTGTCCTCTGTCAAAGATGCTGTAGTACTGTCTCAGAAATACGTCTCCCAGAATCCACAGAGGGGCCTCAGTGGAAGCAATGCCCACGGCCTGGAAACCACTAAAACAGAACTCCCTGTCTCCGAGCACCTCCTGGAGATAAGAAATAGAGACCAGGTGACACCCATATTTAAAGAACAAATCCTTTACAAATACTTGTGTTACTGTCTGAGTTGATAATCCATCAAAAATGCTATAAAAACTACTGGTAAGGTTGCTTGGAAAATCCTGTGCTAATGTGACAGTTGTATTTTGCAAACAATGGCATTTCTAGGTGCCAAACAATAAAGTAGTTCAATGAAAACATGGGCTGGTTTAGAATTAGAGACCGCATCTATTAATGAAATCCTAAATGCAAATTCGTTCCAAAGATAAGACGTAACTAGTGAACAGCTAAAGTTCAGTCAGACCTTGGTTTTTAGCTGGACTCTGTACAGAGGCCTAATCTGTGCATCTAAGGCTCTATCTGGGACAGAAGGGCATTCAGAATTCCTGCTAGCACCAAACTCTTGGTGCAAAACAAGGACGCAGCTTAACATTTTACTCCGCTGATGGAAAACATGTTGGATAACTGGCTGAAGCAAACACAACAGTCATAAAATCGGTTACCTTCCTAATGTAGTGCTCAGCAGTCAGCGAGTACTCTCTTCCTCCCAGTACAAATGTCACCTGAGGCAAACTGGACAACCTGGCACAGTCGATGAGAAACTGAAAAACACACAGGTAAGGTCAAAGGAGATATGTTAACAAAAGTCACCACAAAACCTGAAGGTGTCCCATACTGTTTCTTTTGCGGAATAAACAAGTAAATGCAAGATTTTCTTTCACCTCTCCAGTGCTTGTGGGTGTGGCTCCAATCAGCTGCTGGAGGGTGAGGATGTCACTGGTCGGCCCAGTGATAAGAGAAGTTCCTGTGTCGACAATTGCCTGGCAACCATGAAGACAAAATGTATTCACTCCCTGCACCGCCACACTGAAACATAGAGGAAGGGCTGCAATTAACTATTACTTTTATGATTAAATAATTTGATGTTTATTCTTTCTATTAGTCAATTATTAAATCCTTTGCTTGTTCCCATTATTTCCCCTGTGTACACTGTCATCTACTGGTTATTGCATGTACTGCACTGCACAACAACTTTTATTTGCAATTGATTGATTTTGGCCCCAAACAGCCATGGTGTTGGATGTGATCAACAGCACCAAAGCCAGCTCTTAAATAAAAAAAGAAATACTGGCATTTTTGTTGGTACAGAGTCAAACTTGGGGTTCAGATTACGATTACAATGAATCACGATGATAACAATGTGGGATACCTGTCCATTTTAATCTGCCAGTATGACTTCACAGTCACAGGGAGCCAGTTGATTGGTCCTTCATACAAGGATTCATCTATTCCGCCTAGCAACAGTTCACCCTCTAGGCTGCCATTATTTGTTTTCCTGCAGCAATAAAAACAAAAATCACATTATAGACAACAAACTGAAGTTCATATCTCTTTTAAAAATTCTATCGCACTGCGGAGGCTTTTGAATTACTGTGACTCCTGTGAAATTCCTGAAACCTCTGCAACCTTTATCCCTTTAGGCCAAATGTCTCACATGTCCCAAGAATCTGCAGGTTGTCAATCCAAACAAATATTATACCACAGAGTTTGGCTTCACTGAAAACCTACTAAGTTCCAGCCATGTGGTTTGAGACATCTGCTCTAGACTTTCTATGAGGGTAAAAAAAAAAAAAAAAAAAAATCTTGGAAAATTCCTAGAATGTTCTGGACCCTCTGCAACCTTCAGACATTTGGGAAATCCCTGAAAGCAATTTAGATCTAAGATTGTCTTCACATCCTTTAGAACAAATGTCTCAAACCATGCTGTGTCTCCCTGGGAAATCCTAGCCCCCTCTGAGACACTCAGGAGCACTCACAATTCCTCTAGAAAACACTCCTTGATACTTAGCAAAACTCTTGATCCCTGGGACAAAGGATCATAGATTTCTTTGAATCCTCTCCAAAAGTTCCTGCAAACTACTACGTCTGGTTCAAACTACATGATTTGTTTGTCAGATTACATGATTATAGAGTCATAAATTCTTGAACAATGGATATGACAGACTACACGTTGGTACCCGACAGATCACAGCCTGACGTTGTTCACGTCTTCGAGGTGCCAGGGACTGAGAGAAGAGTGTGTGTGATACTGGCTGCTTGTGACCCATCTGTGGGTCACACAAAGAGCACAACAGCCTGTTGTCTCTATTTCACAGAGAACTTGAAGTAGCAGTTAAAAATACAGTGGGGCAAATAAGTATTTGATACACTACCGATTTTTCAAGTTTTCCCACTTACAAAGGATGGACGGATCGGTAATTTTCATCGTAGGTACACCTCAACTGTGAGAGACAGAATCTACAAAAAAATTCCAGAAAATCACATTGTTAGATTTTAAAAATAATTTATTTCCATTTTATTGCATGAAATAAGTATTTGATACAATAGAACTTAATATTTGGTACTGAAACCTTTGCTTACAATTATAGAGGTCAGACGTTTCCTGTAGTTCTTGACCAGGTTTGCACACACTGCAGCACGGATTTTGGCCCACTCCTCCATACAGGTCTTCTCCAGATCTTTCAGGTTTTGGGGCTGTGGTTGGGCAACACGGAGTTTCAGCTACCTCCATAGATTTTCTATTGGGTTCAGGTCTGGAGACTGGCTAGGCCACGGTTGTTGGCCAAAATCTCGCAATACATGGCCCCATCCATCCTCTCCTCAATACGGTGCAGTCGTCCTGTCCCCTTTGCAGAAAAGCACCCCTAAAGCATGATGTTTCCACCCCCGTGCTTCACGGTTGGGACGGTGTTCTTGGGATTGTACTCATCCTTCTTCTATCTCCAAACACAGCTAGTGGAGTTTATACCAAAAAGTTCTGTTTTGGTCTCATCTGACCACATGACCGTCTCCCATGCCTCCTCTGGATCATCCAGATGGTCTTTGGCAAACTTCAGACGGGCCTGGACATGTGCTGGCTTGGGCAGAGGGACTTTGCGTGCACTGCAGGATTTTAAGCCACGACGGTGTAGTGTGTTATTAATGGTAACCGTTGAGGCTGCGGTCCCAGCTCTCTTCGGGTCATTGACCAGGTCCTCCCGTGTACTTCTAGGCTGATCCCTCACCTTTCTCAGGATCACTGATACTCCACAAGCCGAGATCTTGCATGAAGCCCCAGTCTGAGGGAGATTGACAGTCATCTTGAACTTCTTCTATTTTCTAATAATTGCACCAACAGTTGTTGCCTTCTCACCAAGCTGTTTGCCTATTGTCCTGTAGCCCATCCCAGCCTTGTGCAGGTCTACAAATTTTGTCCCTAGTGTCCTTAGATAGCTCTTTGGTCTTGTCCATAGTGGAGAAGTTGGAGTCTGATAGATTGAGTGTGTGGACAGGTGTCTTTTATACAGGTAATGAGTTCAAACAGGTGCAATTAATACAGGCAATGAGTGGAGGATAGGAGGGCTTCAAACTAACATTTCTGTGATAGCCAGAATTCTTGCTGGTTGGTAGGTGATCAAATACTTATTTCATGCAATAAAATGGAAATAAATTATTTAAAAATCTAACAATTTGATTTTCTGGAATTTTTTGTTGATTCTGTCTCTCACAGTTGAGGTGTACCTACGATGAAAATTACAGAACTGTCCATTCTCTGTAAGTGGGAAAACTTGAAAAATCGACAGTGTATCAAATACTCATTTGCCCCACTGTAAATGTTTTAAGATGGTCGTAAAACCAAAAACCAAAAACCAGTCCTGATAGGGAAGCTACTTCAGAAGGCTGACTGTGAACGTCACAATGCTAACATTAGCTGTATCACTGTGATATTTAATGAATATGGTTCTGTCCAGTATGCCAAAAATGTTGTGAACAGAAGAGCAACTGTGCTCCTGTTGGTCAGTGCCGGCCACCTCGTCGTAGACGATGAAAAAATGCTAGCCTTTGTGTCAGGACAACATGATGTGTCCCAGATGCAGCATTGGTAGTCATTTACTACAACACACTGTACGAGATAAAACGATTGACTGTCATGTCGAACACTGTTTGTCAGTTCCGACGCCCTACGTCTGTGTGTCGGACTGTTATTGAGCTTAAATCGTGAAGTCTGAACTGAGTATTACTGAAACCCTTAAACTCTGCTGCAAGCCATGGGCCCCATGAAACATGTGTCCCTCGCAAACCCTTCTTCAACACAAATTTTTAAAACACCAGTACCCTCTGACAGCCGTGGACTGTCCCCTGGATAGTTCTGGTTCCACCTCACTAAAACATTTAGACTAAAGCATTCTGGCATGCTTGGAAGTCAGAACCCTCCAAAACACAGTTCCTCTGTGCATTCGCTATCCAGTTGGTCTAGCCTGGATTATGGGAGTCCAATGGACTCCAGTTTAGAAACCACAAACAAGTGTGACTCGCAAGTTGCTTGTTCACGATGATGAAACACGCACCAGTAGGGACAACAAGGAACAAGATGATGAACCCTAACACTGGTTATACTGGTCAACTCCCAGTTAGAATGCTTGAAAGTAGATAAACCTGTAAAAAAAAAACCCTCTGGAGGTGTAAAATTATTTCAAGTCAGTGAAGCCAAACCTGCTGAGGTAGAGGGAGAACACTGGCTCGTCCACCATCTTCTGGGCCATCATGTTGTCAAAAACAGGCTTGTCAAGGTTCTCTGAAAGAGACGGGTAGGCCATTCCCAGAACACCGTCGAACCTCGCCATCAGAAATGTATCTCCGGGCTCATAGATCGACTCCCCAAACTCCTGGTTCTTAATGGTCAGACCTGCAATCTGCAACAGAACACAAATGATTACTTAACATTATAAAATAAAGTACAAATTCAGCTTCTCCAGCTACACAGGGTCAAAACAAATTTCCAAATCTTTTGCAACCCTGAGGAGAGTTTATTCCTTTATTTAGCACAGAACCAATTCAAAGGTTGTTTCCTGGTGTCAACTTGGTATGAGGCAAAGAAGTAGGGCTGTGAAATGATTGTGTTATTGGGACGTTTTTAAATTTGAAAATTTAAATTTTTAAGACTTCAGAATGAAAATTTTTGTCTGGAAATTTAAGACACGCAAAGTAATTTGATTTTGTTCAAACATATTATTCAGTGCTTTTTGGCATTTTTGCCATTTTTGCCTTAACAGTACAGCAAACCAGGTTCCTGGGCCAGAACTGGAACATTTCAGCTACCAGATGGTGCATAAATTAGACTGAATATATTAGGAGAAATTAGATTGTGTCTTGTACTGCATGACTTTTTATCTTTTATAAGTTGTGTATTTAAGGTTCTAGTAATGTTTCAAATAATATCTTGATTCTTCAGTCTCTGAAACCTTGTCTCTTAGATCGCTCCATTATGAAATAATAGTATAATAACAGTGAAAGATGATAATAACACCTCCAGTGTCTCTAAAAATGAGGCTTTATGACCAAAGGTGTTTTAGTTTTGTGGGTATGAGAGCAGTCGTTTAGTACAGATTATTCAAGCCTGAGTTCAAATATTTACCGCTGTTTGTCAATCAATAATTCAGAGACACATGAAACATCCTGACTGAAATTGAGCCCAAGACATGACACAATTTATGGTGGTCTGGACGCACCGAGCATATGCACATGTGATCGAAACAGGGTTTATTGCAGTTCCAACACTTCGGCATACATTCGTTTGTGTAGAATAAAACCTTCAGTGTATCTCTGGACATGATTCCCATCAGGTGTCCTGATCCGTAGTGAATCCCAAACATCCGACCGTCAAGTCGAAAAGATGTTGACTCAAAAGCCCTGAAATGCTTGTGCAACACTGTGAAAACAAAACGCACACAGTTGTGTCTTTGCTTTACCGTAACCCCAGCCTAAAACTGATTCTAACGTAAACCCAAAAACCCTTTGCAGAAGTGAGGACTGGACATGTCCTCACAGTGATGGCATTAACAAACATCTGTCCACACAGTGTACTAACGAAACACACACACACACACACACAGACACAGACACACAGAGGCCTTGAGCTTCTTATCAGTCAGTTACACACCAAACCAGTCAAGCTGTCCTGACCCACAAACCTCAGATACAGACTCACACACAGACTCAGTTGTGTAGTATACTGTCATATTGTCTTGTGTGTACTTGTGTTGTGGTACCACAGGCCGGGCTTATGCAGTACATCGAAGGCACCCAGAGGTCGGCCGAACCGGTGTCAAAAACCACAGAGAAGTTCTGCTCCGGAGTCCCCAAACTGATCACACCAAAATACTGAGCCTGGCACACAACACAGACGCACTCAGTGTAAGGACATGTCTTGTCAAAATAAAACCTTATCCTAAAACGTTTGGGGGTTCACAAAACAGACTTAGTGCTGCGAATCCTGGCGAAAGAGGTGGGACTCCCACACAGCCTGACAGGCTAAACTAAGGGCAGAAGAACCCTTCAAATGTTCATTGAGGTTTAGTGTTTAGGAGCATGTCAGTAGCACATTTTGAAGGAAAATGTCAGTCACTTTTCCCAGAAGCTGTGGGATTTGAACCAGTAACCACTTCATCTTAGAGACAGTGTTTTCTTACATCCATGAAGTTGTAGAGCCTCTCTCTGGAGCGTCCAAGCCTCAGAGATGGTGTGCCGTCCGGGAAGCACTGAGTGTAGCGCCGGTTAAACATGTCATGGTGATAATCCTTCAGGAACCCCTCCAACGCACTGTTGGCTCGCAGCTGGGTACGAATCGAACGCTCCAGCTTCAGAGGGACCCTGAGAGTAGTGATAGTCCAGGGTTTTAAATCTTAAAGGAACAGTTCAACTTTTTGGGAAATAAGTTTATTAGCTTCCCTGTCTGGAGTTAGTTGTCTAGATTCAGATGAATACTTCATCATATCAGTAGGATAAATGCAGCTAGCTACTGCCAGCAGACAGTTAGTAGTAACGGCAGTTAAATTATTGTAAAACTAAGAAGTCAGAGAGTTTTACATGTGTAATGTGCTGGGGCCCTCTGATGTCTGCAGGGCCCTGAAAAGACAGATACAATATTTTAACACTTATAAACAATAATAAAGGTGAATTCCTACCTGACCAAGGCCGAGGTCGCCCATGTCCCAAACACCAGAGCCAGCAGCAGCCTCCACATGTCTGCCTGTCAGAGTTCATTCTGCTCTCTGGTTAAACAGGGAGAAAATCCACCGCCTACTTTGTGTGTGCACGTGCTGATAAAGAGACTGCCGACTCCGCTGAAGCTTCATACATCACTAATTTTCTCACAAATAAAATACAGCAAAACAAAGTAGCTGGACAACATTAGCATGTAAAGATAGCTCAACAGTTACTTAGCTCAAGTGGGCATCCTTTAAATCCAGGAAAATGAGAGATTAATGGAAATTCTGTGTTCTGTTCCAGCCAGTGGACAAAGAATTAAAGGTCCTCTTACTCGCTTGTCCTGGACTTTTCATCCACTGATGTAAAGATGTGGTTAAAAGCTCTGGAAGAAGCTTGTATGTGGACTAAGATTTTTAAGGTACACCTTATTTAATGTTAATAGCAAAAAAAAAAAGTGTTTGTTTTGATTTTAGCTTTGATAAGATAAAATCAGAATCAGCTTTTGCTCCTCGGCGGCGACATCGCAGCTTGCTCGGAGTCAGGTTGTTTCTCTTTTGTCTCTTTTTTTTTTTTTATTTGCTTATTTATGCAGTGTAAAAAAAGTAGTTTCCAGGACGTCACTTCTATTATAATTTTTTGGGTGTTGCTGTTTTAATGCTTTGTTGCTTTTTTGTAACTTCTTTATTTTAAGACTAAGTGTTCTCTCCTACCTGACTCCAAGGAAAGCTGCACAAGAATTCCTATATGCCTAGACTGTTTATGCATACATGGCAAATAAATATCTTGACTTGATTTGTTTGAATTCTTAGAGACAAACAGTCTTTATTTTGGCCAAAACAAAATACTCTAGTAAAAGTAAAAAAAAAAAAAAAAAAGCCAGCTTTAAAAAAAAAAAGTGTTTCTGCATTTAATATATTACAAGATTACATTTATGCAACATCTATCAAATGCCCCAAATTATTCCAAAGCGTCACAAATCTGTTTTTTGATCCACAGTATGTTGCAGCTTCTCAGTAGAGAAGGTGAAGGCCACAGGTTTTGGTTTGTCACTGTGTGTTGACACTCGGTCACTCTGACCTCAAGTGGCAAACAGATCTAACATCAACAGTATTAGAAACTAAATTAGCATTAAACTGTGATGCTTTTTAATCATGCTGGTGATGCAGTTTTTGCGTCTCTGCAACCATCAGATTGATTCCAATGAAATCTGGTGCAAACGGATAACTTAATCAGGTATTTTACTAATTCCCTCATTTTTCGTCTAGTCAGCTTAATATTTTGACAGCAATTAAATATGATGGGAATAATATGCTGCCGCACAAGTTCCCATCTTCAGCATTTCACTAAACAATGGACTCAGCTAAAAAGACAACCAGGAGCCACAGAGCAGAGCTTTAAAACAGAAACAACGTAACCAACATCACGCCGCTCCTGTGAACTGGGCTGATTTCTCATTTACGTGCTGTAACATCAGGGGTTGCATGGATATCCACCAGACTCACTGAAGTTTAGGAGGTGGAAAAGGCCAATGGTTTGACATTTTTCTAAGCATTAGAGTCCACACACACACTCATCACGGGTCTGTGTATTAGTTTTATTTCCATCATAACAAGGATTCACTCAGACATTCATCGTCTAATCCACTGTGGGTCAGAGCTGATGGCCTGAGTTGCAACACAGATTCCTAAACTTACATGTAAAACTGAATTGATCTTGTGAACATGAGAGAACAGATGAAACCAGACAAAGCTACTAATGAGGATTGGTTCATTTATTTCAGTAAACAAAACAAACAATGTCCAAAAT